CGCCCGGCTCTGCCACCCTTTATTGATAGCTCTGGCTGTACTTCTTAAGTTTGTTTGCAGGAAAGAGTGGTCATCTGATGATGGATTTCAGAGAACAGTAGCCCAGGTTCCCACCCATCCACCATCATTTCTTCTTAGAGCCTAGGAAGGGGGAGGGATGTGAGTTAGCTGAAGGAGGAACTGAGAGACTGATGATCCAGTCTAGTCCTACCCCAGTGGCGGACTGTGCATTGAAAACCTACCATCTCCTTGTCCTGCCCTCCCCTTCCCCCAAGGATGACAGAAGAGGAGCCCGTGGCTTCTCTTTAGTCTTTCAGGCTAAAAGTGAGAGTGGAATCATCCGTGGTAACAGGCTCACCATCCCAAGATGTCCTAGTCCCCCTGGTTTCCTTGTGCCCAGGGATGGGTGGGTGGGGCCAAGACTGCAGGACATCAATGACCAGAATGTGTACACCTAGTGTGATGCACATGACACTCACAGTGACCAGCCCAATTCCACCAAGGACAACCAGAGCAAGAGGAACCTGGTAGTGCTGCTGGAGTAGCCACAGACTCATCCACTCCAGTAGGACCAGATGGAAGAGGGCCAGGGTGGCCAGGGTAGCCCAGCTGGTCATGCTGAGGGCCAAGGATGGGGCCTGGTAAGAAAGCAGCAGCAATTTTCGCAGGCGCAAGCAGGCAGAGTTCAGGAGCAGAGACAACATGGAGACGCCCACATAGTGGCCAGATGGAACAGCGGTGCTGAGGCAGCTTGCTACCTGGGAGCCAGGGTCAGAGGTCAGAGAACCTCCATGACCTGCCACCCATGTCCCAATCATACAGTCCTTAAGAAAGGGGCTCCCAAGCATTTTGTTGGACTCCCCAAACACCTGACCTTTTTTATCTTTTTTTTTTTTTTTTTTTTTTGAGGCAGGGTCTTACTCTATTCCCTAGGCTATAGTGCAGTAGCATCATCATAGGTCACTGCAACCTCAAAATCCTGTGCTCAAGTGATCCTCTTGTCTCAGCCTCCGGAGCAGCAGGGCCTACAGGCATGTGCCACCATGCCCAGCTAATCATTCTATATTTTGTAGAGATGGGGGTCTCACTGTTTTGCTCAGGCTGGTCTGGAACTCCTAGCCTCAAATGATCCTCCAGCCTTGGATAACGAAAGTGCTGGGATTACAGGCATGAGCCACCATGCTGGGCTTACACCTGACCTTTATGCTTACCCTTATCTTGAGGGCCTGAGTGGCCTTAAAACAGCCCCTCCATAGGATGGAAGCAGCCTTGGCCAAGGGGCTGCCTCACCCTGGGAGTGTAGCATCTGCACAGTACCCCCCGAAACGCCATTCCTGGGCTTTCATGCCTCATCCCCAAACCCTATACCAAAGCTCCTTCTCAGAAACACTCCATAGTCAACATTTCTGTGACCAGCTGGACACTTGTGAGGGACCCAAGTTCCTTATGCAGTGCTCAGACTCCCAGCTGCGGCCAGTAGTCAACCCCCTGACCCCCAACTCAGCCTAAGACTGGGAGGATGAAGTGACAGCTGAGCTGGGAGACTCTCTGGGAAAGACAGAAAGCTGAAGAGAGACTAGGAAGCCAGGCCTCCCTTCCTGTCTGGGGTCTCCCCCCTGAGTCTCACCACCAAATGGTGACAGAGAAGTTCCCAGGCCTGTCCTAAGGTCTGGTTCCACAGCATGTCAGCTCAATCTGCCAGGCAATAACCTGTGGGGATGGGGGTCGGGGGGAGTAGGCTTCTCCAAATAGGTGCACGGCCTAGAAAGGATTCCAGCTCCCGTCTTCCCAGATCTTTAGTTGCCCTCAGTAAAGCCTCCGGAGACATTTAACCCCTGTGGGGGAGTTGGAAGGGGACCTGGAATTACCCCTGGAGTTTGTCCCCTATGATATTGATTGATATGTGTATATATTTTTTCATCCACAGTTCCTGACTCATAACTCTCACAGACCTTGTTACAGTAAACAGAATCTCTCTCTCTGACCTTTTCCTGCCCTCCTTTCACCTGTCCAAGGCAGGACTCTATTTATTTATTTATTTTTTTGAGACAGAGTCTCACTCTGTTGCCCTGGCTAGAGTGAGTGCCGTGGCGTCAGCCTAGCTCACAGCAACCTCAAACTCCTGGGCTCAAGCGATCCTCCTGCCTCAGCCTCCCGAGTAGCTGGGACTACAGGCATGCGCCACCATGCCCGGCTAATTTTTTCTGTATATTTTTAGTTGTCCAATTAATTTCTTTCTATTTTTAGTAGAGACGGGGTCTCGCTCTTGCTCAGGCTGGTTTCGAACTCCTGAGCTCAAACAATCCACCCGCCTCTGCCTCCCAGAGAGCTAGGATTACAGGCGTGAGCCACCGCGCCCGGCCCCTGGCTAATTCGTCCAATTAATTTCTTTCTATTTTTTAGTAGAGACGAGGTCTCACTCTTGCTCAGGCTGGTCTCGAACTCCTGAGCTCAAACAATCCGCCCGCCTCGGACTCCCAGAGTTGTGGGATTACAGGTGTGAGCCACCGCCAAGGCAGGACTCTAATCTGATTGTGGGTCCCTAAGACCCTCCTGCTGCACAGCAGGGAATAGGGAATGCTGCACAGAGGCCAGGAAGAATCCGAAGATAGACCTTGCTGGGTTTAGATTATGCACTTTTTGTCCAGTCCCATTTCTACGTGGTTGTCAATCATGCCTACACAATGAAGCTCCCACAGAAACCCAAGAGGACTGGGTTGGGGGAGCTTCCAGAGAGCTGAGCATGAGGAGGTTCAGGTAACTGTTTCCCCGAGTTCTGTGAACCACTCCAGCAAATTAATCGAACCTAAAGAGAAAGTCGTGTGAACCCCAACTTCAAGCCAGTCGGTCAGAAGTTCCAGAGGCCCAGACTTGTGACTGGTGTCTGAAGGAGGGGGGCAGTTTTGGAGACTGAGCCTTCACCCTGTGGGATTTGAGGCTATCTTCAGGCAGGTAGTGTCGGAATTGAATTAAAGGACACCCAGCTGGTATCTGCCGCTTGGTGTGTGGAGGAAAACGCCCCCACACTTGGCCACAGAAATCTTGATTGTTGTGGTGTAAGAGTAGAGAAAAACAAGGTTTGAGTTTTTTCTTCCAAGCACCCCCACTGGACCAGCCTTCCCTGCAGACTCACCCACAGACACAGCCACCAGCACCAGGGCCCAGGGCGGGTGACCATGAATCGGGTCGGCGGTCATTTGAGGGTACAACGACAGCCTCGGGGAGACAGGGGAGCCAATGGACAGCCTCTTGAATACCCCATCCATTCCCCTGCCGTGCACGCCTCCAACTCCGAAAGTCTGGCATCAGTTCGGAAGATGCCGCGCGTCCTCTAACCTCAGCCTTCCACCCCCGCCCCGCGCCCCTCGAACTCCCGAGCCCTGCGCCGGGGCAGCGCCCCGGCCCCCGCGAGCAGGCTGTGCACCAGCGAGACACACATGTTCCGCCACTTCCAACGGCCCTAAGCAGCAGATCCGGGCGTGGGCAGCAGCTGCAGCCCCCAGTGCAGCCCCCGGAACGCGGCGAAGGAGGCGCCAGTCATCAGGAGCCCCAAGGGCGCCATGGCCTGGCGGGCCGGCTAAGACCCGATCGGCCCCTGTGGCCCCTGCGCTCTCGGCCCGGACGCATCCGATGCCCCCGCGGGGACTGTGAACTGGCTTCCCCGCAGGGATAGGTGCCTGGGTTCCTGCACCCGCCCCGCCTTCGGAATCTGCGGGAACTTTTCCCCGGCTTGTCCACGCCCCATTCCTCGGCTGGGCGGCGATTGGAGCAGCCATGGGGCCACCGCCCCTGGAGCCACGGCAACCGATCGCGTCCGGCCCCGGCCCGGGAGAGCTGTTTGGGGGCTCCCGGGCACCGAGCTGTGCAATGGCGCTCAAGGGGACTTCCGGGATGCTATTAACAGTGGTCTTCCCCCAACTCCGTGTGTCCGGAACCCCTCGCAGTTCCACAAATGGGTCGCTAGTCTAATCTAACCTGACACCCCAGGGCCCCACCCCACTAACTTTCACCTCCTCTTCCCTACTCTCGCACCTCTCAGCTATTGCTCATCCCTCCCAGCCACGCTCCCAGCCCTGAAGGTAGAGAGAGGCAAGCGCAACCCACTCCCATTTGCCTGAACCTAGCCACCGCCCTGCCCCTCCCTCCCAGTGTCACTTGTGGGGGAGGAGCCACCTCTTCTGCCTCCCGAGGTTTCCAGGCCTTCAACACATGGCAGCAAGCCTTTAACTCTGGGAGTCCTGACTGCTTACATAGTACCCCTTATATAGTACTTCTCAAATGGAACAGCAGCCCCCCTTTTGGAGAAGTGACCCACTGAGAACCTCCACACCCAACCTTTATTTTTGCCCTACAGAGGAGCCTTGTTAGGAAGGGGAGGCAAAAGGGAATCACTCACCACTACAGTCTTGAAAAGCATCTCCTCCCCCAGGGCTTGGGACCTGTTAGGTGAGTAGGAAAATATCTCTTCCATGAGGGAAAGATAAGGTAACACAGGGGCTCTTCGATGTTGGGGCAGATCAGAAGAGAAAAACAAAGATTCATGTGCTTTAAGTAGGACTGTGAGGATTCTAGAACCCTTCAGCCTGAAGAGGAAAATCCTCCCCCACCCCTCATTCCCTGAAGAGAGTGACAGGTTTTTACTGTTTTCCTTTCATCTTACTCCACTCCACACCTCTTTAGCTGGCTCCCAGCCAGCAATTCAGAGAGCTGTTTCCTGTGCACTGAGAGTGGATTCCAGCTACTCCTAAGGAGTGACGTTCATAAACCCATAGATGCCCCAACCACACATTCTCACTAAGGGGCTGGGGGCTTCCTTTCATTCTTCTACACCCACTTCTTCAAAGGTTTAAGAAAATTACACTGATCATTTACATTTTTATTATATGAAAACAATACACAATTAATGCAGAAAATTTGAAAATTACAGAAAAACAAGAGGAAAATTACACCATCCAAAGATAACCACTGTTAACATTTTTGAGTATGTCTTCAGTCTTTTTTATCTGTTCTATGCATACAAGTATACACTCATATTTTTAAAAATAAAATTGAGATCACATAATATACACTTTTTATAACCTTTTTAATATTCAAAGAGCATTTTTCTTTCTAGTCACATGTTCTTCTACATGATTTTTAATGGCTGTGCAGTACTCCACCATCTGGATGGATACACAATAATTTACTTAAGCAACCCCCTATTGCAAAAGGAATGAATTCCCAATCAAACAGTTGCTTCTCATTTTTCTCTATTGCAATGTTGGGATGAACGTCTTATAACTAAATCCTTAATTATTTTCTTAGGATAAATTTCCAGACATAAAATTACTAGGTCAAAGGACACGGAAGCTTTTAGGGTGTATGATACATATTACCGAACTCCATCCAAAAGGCTGTACCAATTTATACTGCCACATGCAATGTATGAGAGTGTTATTTCAGTACTCTATTGCCAATGTTGGGCCTTATTTTTTTCTGTTATAGTTTGCTAAGGGAAAAATGCTTTCAGCTATTATATATTTGCCTTTCTTTAATTACTAATGAAGCATACATTTCTTTCATGGTTTTATCCATTTGAATTTGTTATGAATTCCTGTGTATGTCCTTTCACAGCTGGCTCTTGCTCCTTGAGGCTGCTTATATAAAAATTACAGGCTAGGGAAAAGGTGGAAGTAAGAGGGTGAAGCCACAGGATGCTTTCCTATGGTCCCACATCTCTGAGAGAGGCAGAAAGACTGGAGAGAAATGGTGAGTGAAGTAGGAGATGGCTGGAAGCTTGTTGTTGACAGAAGCTGGCTGTTCTCCCTCCTCTTGGGGTGCTCCTGGCCTTTATGGGCCCCTCTGTTGGATGTCCAGATAGGGCCCTGTACTGTCCAGGCCTGGTCCTTCAGTGGTCTCTGTGTTCCCAGGCTGCCCTTCCTCACCTCTGCTCCATGACGGGTGAAGACGGCAGAGCCACATTTCCAGGGCTGGAGGGGGACACTGGCCAGCGAAGCAAAGAGGGGAAGAAACGACGGAGGCAATGTCCAGGGACGCAGTGATCTTCGTTGCAGCCTATGAGTTGACTCAGTCTACCCACCGCCCTCCACCACTGTCCCGCACATATCCTGACCCTCAGCTTAGGCTGCAGAGGGGTTGGGCTCAGTGGTCTACTCTCATCTACATCTTTCAGTTTCTCATAAATGGAGAATAAGACAGACCTCCCTGCACATCTCCTTCCACTACATAGAACAAATAGCTTCCTGTAGACCCTGAACTTGGCCACCTTCAGGCAGGGAGACTGGGCCAAGGCTGAACAACGTCCGAGCCTCAGTGCAAGAATAAGAATGGATCAGGAGCTGGAGGTGGCACGTTTGCACTGCCTGATGCCCAAAAGGGATCACATGCCATAACCCTTCTCCCCTGGTTCTTGGAGGGGAGAATTTCCTGCCTGCACAGGCTTAAGCTGAGTCTCACACACCATCCTGGAAAGCAAAGTGAGGGAAGAAACAGAGCAGCAGCAGGTATAATACCATCAGGGGGCTGGATGGTGGCTCATGCCTATAATCCCAGCACTTTGGGAGGCCAAGGTGGGAGGACTGCTTGAGGTCAGGAGTTTGAGATCAGCCTGAGCAAAAGCAAGACCCCATCTCTACAAAAAATAGAAAAATTAGCAGGGCATGGTGGTGCATGCCTATAATCCCACCTACTAGGGAGGCTGAGGCAGGAGGATCGCTTGAGCCCAGAAGTTCAAGGTTATAGTGAGGTATGATGAAGCCACTGCACTCTAGCCTGGGTGACAGAGTGAGACCCCATCTCAATATAAATAAATAAATAAGAATGCTGAGGCCCGGCGCGGTGGCTCACGCCTGTAATCCTAGCACTCTGGGAGGCTGAGGTGGGCGGATTGTTTGAGCGCAGGAGTTCGAGACCAGCCTGAGCAAGAGCGAGACCCCGTCTCTACTAAAAATAGAAAGAAATTAATTGGACAACTAAAAATATATAGAAAAAAACTAGCCGGGCATGGTGGCGCCTGCCTGTAGTCCCAGCTACTCGGGAGGCTGAGGCAGGAGGATCGCTTGAGCCCAGGAGTTTGAGGTTGCTGTGAGCTAAGATGACGCCACGGCACTCTAGCCCAGGCAACACAGTGAGACTCTGTCTCAAAAAAAAAAAAAAAAAAAAAAAGAATGCCATCAGGGGCTGCTGCCATCCTGCTTTGGATGTCAAGGGAAACCTTGGGCCACCCTTGCATGGTGGGAAGCCAGTGTAGAGACTGAGCTCCTCCTAGTCCCTTGCATTGGTCTAACCCCAGCTCTTCCCTCCAACTCCCTACCCTCTCCAGCTCCTGGAGTTATGGTGTTAGGGATGGGGAAGGGACAATGGTTCATGTGAAAGGTGTTTTGTTCCCACCCCCAGGTGGAGGAGAGCTCAGGCTCTGAGTCTGCACAGGTGGGCTTCTTATTTCCTCATGCACACTCATCTGTGTGGTTCCCTATCTCACAGGTGAAAAAACTGAGACAGGAGGTCTAAGGGTCCCAGATATAGGTAAGTACCCCTGAATCTAGAGTCTGGGCCAGTCTAAGGAAATATAGGGAAAGGTAAGAGCAGAGGGATGATTGCTCAGATCAGAGTTTCAGTATCACCTTTTCCCTGAAGAGTAAACTTATTTTTGGACCTCAGCTGGAAAAGCCAATAGGGAAGAATGGGAAATAAGGAAGGAGGATCAAGAAGGAAATCTGCGTAAAGAGCTAGATAGAGTTTTCTTCTCTCCACTTCTTTCCATTGTCACATGAAGACCAAGTAACCTTGGGTAGTTCAAGCCTTCTATTCCCCAGTTCAGCCAGTGTCACTAATCTAAAACTGCTCTCTTGCTGAGCCCATCTGGGTGAAGGCTCTCCAACTGAGCAAGGTTCCCTTTCCCAAAAGGTATCATCACCCCTGCTGTTTAGACCTCCCAGCCCCATTTCTGTCACCTTTCAGATGATGGGGAGAGCAGCTCCTCCTCTTCCTCTTCCTCTTCCTCCTCCTCCTCGAAGTCAGGGGCAGAGGGCAACAGTTCTTCAACTGGCAGCTTTAGCTGCGTCAGGACATAAAGCTTGCCACTGAAGAACTACTGCGGCTCAGCCAGGTGAGGATGTGAGAGGATCAGGCTCCTAAAAGGAAGGGGAAGAAAAATGGGAAAGATCTGAGCAGGACTATGTCACAGGGACACTGTCCCAGTGGTCATCAAAGTCTTGCCCCAGTAGACCTTCGACCTTCTAGTGAACAGTTCTTGGCTCTGACCTGGGCCTGCAGGAGTTGTTAATTTTAGTGAGAAGCAAGAGGCAGCTCTAAACACACTTCTCTTTCTCCTCTTTCCAGAACTGGAGGCTATAGAAACCCAGTCTTGCTCTTGTCCCCCCTGCCGTAGCAACCCACACCAGAGGCCTCAGCCCCCTCAGCAATCAGAGAGAGCAGGGCCTGGGATGCTGGACACACCCCACCAGTCATTCAGGTACTAGGTGAGAAGTTGTACCTCAGTTCCAGAAATGGGAGTTCAGTGATCAGCCCAACTGACTTGTTCCCAGGGAGTTCAGCTGGAAG